TCAATCAATCAGCTACTTTTTCAAAAGCTCAACCAGGTTAAAGATTCTTTGATTTGAAAACCAAAGTGATAGTGAACTAGTTAGTTGAAACAAACAGAATTGTTTGATTTATTTACTTTCCACAACATTGACAATTAAAATTTAATTTGATACTTTTCCAGTATATTGACATTCTATAGGTTCAAATCATATTGACATTATATAGGTTCAGATTTGACCACCATTACCATTAAGGGACCATCAACCAATCAAATGCATATGATATATTTGATCAACCATTATAATGAAAGTGCAAGTTTATTCATAAACTAATTATAAATCAACTTCCATGCAATGCTTCATGCAATCATCTAGTTATGCACCAGTCAATGTAAATCCCTGCCCCCAACCGGGGAGGGGCGGAAGGTTTAGCGGGGAAAGTGGTCAGTTTTGATTATAAATTTGTCCCCGATGATGGGAGACTTGGACAGTGGTTAACATATATATCCTGTGTTGCTGTTTTAGTTTTCTTGACAAGAAAAGTTTAAATACAACAACATAAATGAATTTGATTTTCTATTGCTGATCTATGATTATACAAAACTATTTTCCTGGGGTTAAGAGACATGCAGGGGACATTGACGTCCCTGGGGGCGGGGACAATTTCGCTTTTTTACTACCCCTCCAAGTCAAAATCCCTGCCCCTCCCTGGTTGGGGGGTTTACACTAACTGGTGCATTAATTAAAGAAGTGTCAGTGCCACATATGTAGTAAAAGCCAACTTGTCAGTAAAGGCCACAGAGCAAGATTGTATTTCAAAGACTGCCAGTGCCAAAAACAATTGATAGCCCTGAAATAGAGTATGCCAACAGTTAGTATACTGCAAATAACTATTCTATCAACAAGATAATGTGTGTGTTTTACAAGTGTTTTTTATATATCAATCCAATGGCATGTAACCTAAAATTCAGCAGTGTCTGTGTAATGAAATACACCCTTACTTCTCAAGTATGGTCAAATTAACTATACTACATTGTGTATAATAATATATGGACTGGTTCAAAAATATATTGAATTTATATTAGTGAACTGGTGAACTATTGATGCAGAGATTATGCCAAGTATAGAATGGCAAAAGGATTTTCATGTTATCAGCATGATTAAATCGTGAGATTTTGCAAATAATCTGTGTAAAATCTCTTAGAGATATCCTCGGTAGCTACATTTTAAGGTAAAATGACTATGGTAAAGCTATTCAAGGCAAAAAAGCAATGGATCTGTCAACCTCGTTGTCAACAGTAAATTTAGCTAAGTTTATGATCCATTTATTGCCGTATTTTAGCTGAGAATTCATTTAAGACAATGCAATACGATAGACTTACCTTTGAATTTATCATATATTCTTTTAAAATGGTCACCAAAGCTCTAAAACTCGATTGGTATCGTTTTAACTTCCTCCCTCCTTAATGTTTACATGTAAATTTGTCAAATTACACTTGTTTAGGGCACTGGAAACGAGACACGGCCAAGATGCGCGAGGCGACATGCGCGGGGACATCAACATCAAAGATTCCGACATCGAGTGAGACTGTGCTGTGGTGGCGAACAAACGTTTCGTGAAAATATTCCCCCCCCCCCCTGTCATGTGTCCACGAGAAGTTTTCGCGAAGATTGCGCGTGACTTTCAAATGCTTTGTATTTTATTTTGAACCTAAATGATTACCTGGAGGGGTTTGGCATGAAAACCCAACTAATGTTTTCATTCTTTCGATTGGGACTATTCTACAGTGAAGTACTCTTGGATACTGTAGTCTAAACACATAGGAAGACGAAGAAGTGGCATTTATCGGGCAGAGAAGCGGCGAGCCATTAACATGGCGGCAATTTGACGAAATATCGAAGGACACAATATCGAAGATAAAATATACTGCACTGTTTCAAAACTTCATTAAACTTCGTCGAAATCGTCTTTAGCCATCTATCATTATGTAAAAGTACAACAACTGGATGACACCTGCGAGACTCGGCGATAAAAAGCAGACAAGACAGCAAAGAATGGCTGAAATGGTGTTTTCGTGGGGGGTGAGTGAATTAAAATGTATTATATTTAAAGAAAACAATGACAATCCTTATGAAAACTACAATAATTATATTAAATTAAGCATAGTTTTTCATCCCATGATAATTTTTTTTAGGAAATAAGAACATTAAATTTCTGCCAGGCATATTAGTTATTTTGTGCATAATCAGCAATTTACCTGAGGTGGTGCATAGTCATTTTCTGGTAAAATATTATACTCAGACAAATTTTTCCCTCCAATGACCACCCCTAAAATCAACCCTTCTAAACACTATAAGCACTTCAGAAAGGCTGTCGCTTTTGCTTTTCGGAAGTTAGAGCTATGTCGGCACTGCCGTTTCAGGGCGGGGTCATTTTCAGGACTTTCGCCCCGGATTCAGGTTTTGGCACATATGCCATGTTGACCGCCATGGTCATTTTACCCTAAAACAGTTGAGATTGCCTGTGCTAAATGAAATGCATACAAACATCTATACAGGTCCTAGACTAAAAAATAGCCAATTTGGGCAGGCGTTCCCTCTGTACCCGCCCGTCATGGATAAAATTTTACCAAATTACAGAGGCCCACCAAGGGTAACCCATGTCGCTTCTCACTGATTTTGTAGCTGCTTTGTCGCTTGTTTTATTGTAACAAATGTCGCTGTCACTTTTGACCATAGAAATAATAGATATATATAATCAGTGTTGTAACGAGTCACCTATAGGTCGAGTCACGAGTCGAGTCGAGTCACTCAAAGGTCGAGTCACGAGTCGAGTCATTTCAGTTTTTGATCGAGTCGAGTCAGTGGCTTCACTCGAGTCGAGTCGAGTCAGCGGCTTCACTCGAGTCAAGTCGAGTCACTGATGACACTGATTTAAGTCGAGTCACTGATGACACTGATTTAAGTCGAGTCGAGTCAATTTCTAGGCTTGACTTGAGCTTGACCTAGCTTGCAGTAGGAAATTAGTAATCAAATTTGCGTTTTAAACTAATTACTTTAGTCATTTAATAACAGTATCTGGGCAGCTATAGGCTGTGCCAATATCACAGTTCTAGTCAATATTAAGTACGACCACATGAGATGTCTCATCATGCCTGCTGATCGAGTGTACGTACATACAACTAGCAAAACTTGCAACTGGAGTCAGAATTAACAAAGAATAGACTTTAATTAACAACGCTTTGTAAGTTAATTTGAAATTATATAGCCCTTTATAAATACCAAAAATGAAAATAGCCTGTCAGAATTAGTATATAAGTACAAAACAATTTGAGACTCCATTTTAAAAACTGTGGCACTAGCGTTGTTTCTAAAAACAGAAATGTAATATAGGTATGCCCGTCAGGAATATATTCTATGCAAATCCCATATATTTTCTGATAAAGTTTCGAAGTTCTCATTGTTCACAGGGCTCATTGTTCTTCCGAAGCAATACAATCACAATAATTCTGATGAATTTATTCTGTACAAGTTGTAGATGAGTTGACTCGAGTCATTTACGGCCAAATCAGCAAGTCGAGTCCGAGTCGAGTCATTTGGGGCTGTTGACTCGAGTCGAGTCATTTTTCGTATTGGACTCGAGTCGAGTCGCTGAAAATAGCGACTCGAGTTGACTCGAGTCAGAGTCAATGACTCGACTCGTTACAACACTGTATATAATAGATAGATATATATTATTTCTATGCTTTTGACCCATAACACAAATAACAATTTGTCGCTTTTTCACAGTCAGGAGCTGTCGTTTGTCGCTCTTTCTTAGATAGTCTGTCACCTCTTTTTAAGGAATGTCGCCTGGGGTGGGCGGCTCTGGGTACGAGATTGTATCTGAAATAGCCCAGACGTCCTCTGTGCACGCTTTTGATTCACGATGGCTCTACCCATAGATATAGGAGATCTAGATTGCTAACGCATACCTAGCGCAGGCGGGGCCTACATGATAAATCCAAGATGGCGGTACAACAGGGCAAAAAGACTATAGATTCTATTACGAAAATCAGGATTTTTGCATTTTTTGCCGTCCCATTGTTTCGAAACTTATTCGGTCAAATTTTATGGTAAAGAGAAACTTACCGCGAAGATTTTGAGCATATATATGATTGAATTGGATGAAAAATCGCAAAATTATCCAGCGATAAAAGTTCGTGTGAAATGGTCAGTTGGAGCGTTTTATTGCCAGAAATACTGTGCTATGTTAACATCTAGCCTTGTGAATGGTGTTTTATACTTGCATCTCTCATCATCATCTGCTCTGTCCTCATAATTATGAAAAATGAACTGTTATGTACCCTCCTTGCTTGTTAGAGAAGTAAACTGATGAGAGCACTGGATGAGGGTCTATCATCTATGGTCTGTTATAATTTGCTTTTTATGCAAATAGTGAGCAAAAATTAAAGCAAAACTGTACAAGTTACATATATAGTACTATATCAGTACTATACACGAACTTTTATCGCTGGATAATTTTGCGAGTTTTCATCCAATTCAATCATATATATGCTCAAAATCTTCGCGGTAAGTTTCTCTTTACCATAAAATTTGACCGAATAAGTTTCGAAACAATGCGACGGCAAAAAATGCAAAAATCCTGATTTTCGTAATAGAATTTATAGTCTTTTTGCCCTGTTGTACCGCCATCTTGGATTTATCATGTAGGCCCCGCCTGCGCTAGGTATGCGTTAGCAATCTAGATCTCCTATATCTGTGGCTCTACCACTGTATGGGGCGCCAAACCTGACAAAATAAAAATGGTTCGTGATATAAAGTATATTAAAATTTACCCCTCTGATATAAGATAGGATACGCGAGGTAGCTCGTGATATAAAGTATAACTTACGTACACATCAATATATAGGATATAACCGTAATTTCACAAAAGTAAACAGGACTTATGTAAATTAACTAAAGAAAATTTGAATTTGAAGTCACGTCTTGCATTACTAGAGGCGAAAGTTTTCTCCGAGAATAAATCTACCTTGCCAATAGGCCCCGACCAAAGATTGGAGAGTAATGATCCTGATTCCGCGACGAATACAATTAACATCTCAAACAAAACTATTAGTGAACTACAAAAGCTTAACTTAGCTCGCTTGAGTCTTGCTGATTTGGAAGCCATAAGGCATGCTATTGCGACACTGCAACCAAAACTCGATTGTTTGCAAATCCCCTGCAACGATGATATATCGAGCGATTCGTGTGTTATTGTCAATTCAAAGGAAATCTGTCATAAATCTATTCAGACCACTGGGTGTAGTGAGAGTAATCGGGAAAAACCACGTTTGGAGGAACCTAACGACCCTTTATTACATAACTTTTGTATTAATACCAACATAATTGAGTCTCTTAATAAAGTCAACCAGAACAATGGGCCCAATGAAGCTAACCAGCAAAATAATAGTCCTTTGTCTGGAGAATGTAATGATAATAGCTTGCAATTACTGCATAACCCAAAAGAGATTAATTGCCAAATCAATCAGAATAATGTGTGCAATGAGGCCAATCACACTCATCACTCAGCGACAAAACACCAAGGTATTGGTGGATTACCCTTGATCGAAAACCACACGATACAAATCAATCAGAATAATGTGTGCAATGAGGCCAATCGGGTTAACCCCAGCTCAATTATTCAAGAGAATTTAGACGATTGCACTATAATTTCTGTAACTTCAAGATCTCAAAACTTTCACACTCAACACTCAGCGACAAAACACCAAGGTATTGGTGGACTACCCCTGATCGAAAACCACACGACACAAATTCAAATTGACAGAAATAATCAAGGTCAAAGTTCTTCACTTAACGATATCGGAAAAAAGGCACGATCCATCTTCAAACCTAGCCCACTACGATGGCATCTACGTAACCCACAACAGCACGAAAATTATTTTCGGAAGGGCTTTCGTGTCAGACCCCCCAAGAACTAGCCCGGCAGCTGAACCAGCGAAGACAGCGGAACCAGTCCCTCGATTACATCGACAGCTCCCAAGGCACCAATATCCCTTGGTTTCGTTACTCCATGCAACACAAGGGGTCGGACTGGACCAAATATCTAGAGATTGTACACCAAATCACTACTATGCAATGAATTCTCAGCTATTTAGTTCCCAATATAACAACCAACAACAATTTATTTCAAACTATTTCCCAGTCCATAAACCAAAGTCGCGGCGTATACGGTCAGCTCAACCCTCTCATATTACTGGAGATAACTTAATAAAGATAGCCCTTAATCCCAGAGGAGGTTGGACAGCAGGCCGCGAAGCATCATGGGCATTGAGCGCCTAATTCCGCGCGTGACTCCATTGACTGTTGACTTTCGAGGAGTGAACATCTCTCTGACTAAAACAATATGGAAGCTTTCGAACGACAAGAGTGTCAGGCTGTGATATTTTGTGAAAAGAAACAGCATGTTATTGCTGTATTGTTTTGCTACATCAAGTTTACCTTTTTTAAATTGCATGAGCATTGCTGTCATTTTAGCTTTATAAATAATCCGTGTGAGAAAAGGAATTGTGTTTAATTTTATGTTCCCAATAGCGAGGCTCTTCTTTCTAAGTGGGATGGCGTTATTAAATCTCCGTGTATCATCAACGTGAAAACAAGCGCAGTATTTAAGGTTGGTATACTACAATGCATTACAGTTATCGTGTTATTTTATAGTCAAATTTCCGCTTTGTTGTTTTTATTCTTGTACTGTAATTTTATAAATACACTGTACAAAATTATGGCGTCATACTTGTGTTTATAATGCCTCTACTCTAGTTTGACCCTATTGTGTTCGCAGGCTACTATTGTGTGTGTATATGTACTGTGTCACTGTGATAGATATGTACATGTTTTGAGTTAAACGAATTGTTTAATAAATTTTTGCTGAAGTATGATGCCTGTTTGTATTGGATAGATTTTAAATATATGTGCATTAGTGCATACAGTATAGTTACATTGGTTCTCAGATGAGTCTGAAGGTATATTGTTATTCAGTAATTTGTATGTATTGTTTTATAAATTTTTGCTGAGTATGATGCCTGTTTGTATCTAGTTGTGAGAATATAATTTTAGATGTTACATGTTTGCTAATTTTAGAGATGATAATGTATCAAATAATAATTTTCTTGTTATGATTTTGTAGAAAGAGATTACTTGAGTGGTTGGCTGATCTTGAGCCTATTCAGGATGGATATGATAATGAAAGAGGTGACATGGCATCAAGTGATGACGTTTAAGTGAGAAGATGAAAGTGATGAGGAAGAAACCGCCCACGCTGTACCATTCAAGCGCATCAGTGCTGCTCGTGAGAAAAACTACCAACATCATTTGGAAAATTAAATTAAGGCACAATACCTCACTCTTCATGAACAAGATAAAATAGTCAATGTAAGAATATGGCCAGCACCATTGAATCCAAGGGACCCAAGTGCAATAGGCAATTCCAGCTTTTAGTTTATTTTATTAAAATTTTTCAGCATAATCAGCTATATGATACATTACTTCCTACCGCCCCTGCACACATAAATTAAAAGCTGGAATTGCCTATTGACTAGACTATGGAACTGGATGGACAACATGTTGGTTATATTGCTTTTGAACTATGCAAGTATTTGCACCCACTAATTGCTGCAGATGTTGCGGATGTCTGGTGGAAACATTTCTAGTGGGGGTGCAAGCAGCACCACTGAGTGAGCTTTTTACAGGGGTTAGGAATTAGGGTTAAAGACTTTTGAAGCAAAATTTTGGTGGGGTTAAACACTTTATAAGAGGGGTTAGAGAGATTCTAAGCGGGGGGGGGGGGTAACCCCTCCTAACCCCCCCTCCCCCAGCAAATCCGCCCATGATTTAATCCAAACATTTTCATAACGAAACCTGGTGAGTGGAGACTCAAGTGGTAGGAAAAAGCATGAGTGTATGTTGACAGATGTGTTTTATATAATAAATAGCAACTAGCTATGTTTAGCAAGTTATTAGTGCATTTATTTCAATTGGCTAACTTTTTTGTTTTTTCAAGCATTTTTAAACAAACCATATGTTATAAATGATAACTGGGTATATCTAATTAAAACAATCTGTCATGTACACTCATGCAAATAAGACTAAGCACATAAATAACTGTAAAAATGTACTTTAGTAAATGAATATTTTTTCCGACTAAAATTGATGCAACAATAAAACAAGATGTCTATTTATATATTTATTAATTAAATTGATCCGAGATCCCAACAATAACATGCCACTTAGGGAGTGGTCATTATTTATGGGGGGGGGGGACGCAAACAAAGTTTTACCCTTATAAATAGGGGGGGGGTCAAAAAAGTTTTAATGCAGAGAAAGGGAGGGTCAAAAACGTTTTTGAACTTAAATACCATGTCTAGAGTTCTGATTTCTATAATCACAAATAGCAAAAAAGACTCTGAAAATGCCATTTCCAATGATCTAGAGACTCAAAATTTTCAAAATTTCCCTGCTCGGTGCCAACCATGGTAGCGCCTTGTGGGAGTGGGGCCCACTATGTTTAACAAGCTTCCTACCCCCTGAGTAACCCAATTGTGGTATTTACATAAATATACCATGCAAGTGCACTGAACTGATCAGATTCGGTCTATCAAAGCACAATGTAACGCTGTATATCCAAAATCTGTTTCAGAAAATGCTCACATTTCAGTCCCAGGGAAAAATACAAAAAAATTTTACCCAGACCCCCCTACTAATACATACAATACCACACCTTTTTGTCACCAACAACCATCTGTCATCTCTCCACACTCAGTATAGTATGGTCCCTTTTTGTAGATGCCCACCCCCAGACATGTTCTTAAAAAAAGCCCTGTGTTCAAATCATTCTGCTGTATGAAGACGGGCCATGGGTTAGGGTTATGGTAGGACAAATGTTGCATTGCAGTAGTCACACAAAATATATATATTTTTTAATCATATATGGTTGAATCATATTCACTAGGGTAAAACATCATGAGCTAGATTTAAACAGATTGTCCTAAGACCAAACTTCATCTGCAATGCACGCCTGTTTCATTGCTGTTAATTTTTCAATCCACACTGGGGGGGGGAGGGGGGTCAGAAAAGTTTCTACTTTTATGAGGGGGGAGGCGAAAAAAGTTTGCCTTCAGTCTTAATTTTTTATGTATGATACATATGATAATACAATAAAAACTTGTTAAATTTATTGTTTTAAAACAAGTGGAGCTCTCTGCTGGTTTGAAATGGGCTGTTATGAAACTGATTTGTCCATGCTGAGGATTCCACAGCTCGATTTGCCACAAAAACCCCAGGATCAGGCGATCAGCTCGTCTTGAAATACGTACACGATGCAGTGGTGTCGGCCAAAGACAACAAAACTTTGAAAATCGCACAGATATAAATTCTACAAAAATATTAAAACAACTCCTAAGTCTTCTAAATAATATTTTAGCACTTTAACAAAAATTCATTGAAAATATCATCTTTGAGGGCGCATATTCTTTCCACGGTATTAGACGCCATTTTAGCGAACGTCGAGTTGACAGTAGTCACTTCAACGGTCAATACAAGGTTTATAACCATATTCAAGGTGTTGTTGACTCGCATTTGGCTTGTCATCCAGACAGTCTAATTTGCATCGTGGGCGATTTTAATCCCAATTCAACCAATATATCTTCCAGCCGCTTTCGTCAGTTATGCGGCCTGGCGCAGATTGTAAAAGTTTTCACAAGAGATTCAGGCATCCTTGATTGGTGTTTAACAAATAAACCTAAAATTATGTCTGTACCCGAGAAATTACCCAAGATTGGCTACAGCGACCATTACTGCTTTGTTGTCCGGCAGAAATTGCCTCGAGCAAAACCACCGCCCAAAGAGACTATCTTTAGACGAAACACCCGTGGTAGTCGAATTCGAGAATTTGGCCAGTGGAGAACCTCGTTTTCATGGCAAGAGGTGATCTCGAAAGGTTCGTGTCAAGATAAATTTGAATGTTTCCATCGTACTCTTTTAGGAGCTGTTGAAAAATATTTACCTATGAAGGCAGTACGTAAATGCCGCTCCGACAAGCCTTGGATGACAAGCAAGATAAAATCATTGATTAGGAAAAGGCAAACATGTATGTCAAAATATGGGAAGGAGTCCTCTTCCTTCAAATTTTGGGAAATAAAGTTGCCCAATCCATCGAAGAATGTAAGGAATCGTATTATAAGTGTAAAGTTAGAAACCTAAAAGTCACAGACGCAAGCAAATGGTGGAGAGAGGTTAAAAATCTTTCTGGCATGGCTGACAGAAATAACCAATGGTTTGAGCACCTCATTGATGGTGAAACTGTAGATTCCGTTAATACGTTATGCGAAAGAATCAATCATTTCTTTGTAAATCTCACAAAAGATTTTACGCCTCTCTCACAGAACGATGTTTCTAACTATTCTGCTGGTGATTCTGGTATTGCGGATGATCTCTTGGCTTCAACTGGCGAAGTTTATAAATCCCTTTGTTCGTTAAAGACAGGGAAAGCCCCGGGACCGGATGGAATCCCGAATGTAATTCTAAAAACGTTTGCCTTTGAGTTAGCGCCAGTATTCGCTGATATTTATAACTCATCCTTACGTGATGCCTATTTGCCACCTCTATTAAAGAGAGCAACTGTTACACCTCTTCCCAAACAATCTCCACCGGGCTCCATTGAAAATGGTATCAGACCCATCTCACTCACTTGCGAAATTGCTAAAGTGATGGAAGGTCTCACCTTAGCGAGAATCCTGCCATCCATTATAAGTCACTTGGACAACAAATAATTTGCTATGGCTGGAAAATCTACGCAACAGGCTATAGTATATATTCTCCATCTAGCCCTCGAGGCCTTTGACAAGGGTGGTTGCACCCTCCGATTTTTCTTTGCTGATTTCCGCAAGGGATTCGATCTGATTGACCACAAGATTCTACTTGATAAACTATCTAAACTTGGCACTCATAACGTTGTGTTAGGATGGATCGCTGCCTTTTGATATAAAAGGTCTCAGTTCGTTCGTATTGGGTCGGATGCATCTACACTTCAATATATCAATGGTGGTATTCCACAAGGTACTAAGCTTGGCCCGATCCTCTTTGCCGTAATGGGTGAATGAACTTTTGTCTGCGTGGGGCCCCCGTGCTAAGTTCGTTGATGATCTTACCGCTTTGGAAATTGTACCTAGAAATTCCCCTTCCTTGATGAATCATATCGTGGCAGATATACACTCGTTTGCTGAAGTGAACAATATGAAGCTGAATTCTGCCAAGTGTAAAGATATGATTGTTAACTTTCTTCATTTCAATACTAGTGTTTTGCAACCTATCATCATTGGTGCAACACGCGTGAAATCTATTTCCTCATTTAAACTGCTCGGAGTGTATGTTACCAGTGATTTAACATGGTCTGTGCATTGTGAATACAATATTAAGAAATCCAATAGTCGTTTATATGCGTTGAGGAAGCTTAAGAGGAGTGGGGTAGCCCCAAGATCAGTATTGGAATACGCTTCTGTCGTTTTCGCCAACCTTCCCCAAAATCTTAGCGACGATCTTGAAAGGGTCCAGAAACGAGCACTAGCCATAATATACCCTAACTGTTCCTATGATGATGCCCTAAAACTAGCGGGTATCGAACCGCTTGTCTTACGGAGGGACGCCGCCTGTAAGAGATTTGTGGAGACAATCCTACCTGGAAACCGACTCTATCCAATTGTTCATAGCCGGTCAGCACCAGTGAACCATGGTTATAAACTTAGATCTGACAATGTTGCGAGGAATATCAGGATGCGAACAGACCGGTTCCAGAAATTCGTTACCATTAAGTATGCGACCTGAACTGTGATCGTTGAACCTAATAACTCTATTGTCTAGTTATACATTCATTTTTATCTATAATAAATTATGTACACCTCTCAGATAATTTTGTATAAGTTTTATATACTGTAAATAATATTTGTAATAATGACCTGTAATTCAGTCTCTACTGCAAGGGTTTTTTTAATAAACTATTACTATTACTACATGACTATAGGCAGGGTGACCGCGACAGCGTGAGCCAATTACTGCGGGCCCGAATTAGGACATACAAACATAAAAAACTATCTAAATATAACTACAACTAATAGCAGCACTTAAAAGGCTGAACCAAAGTTAGAGCGGTATTACACTTGGTAAATATAATTTTGAATGTTCTTGGGTTTTCAGGATCGTAGTAAATTTCCAAAGCACGGAAATAATAACTTAGAATGGTAGATTTAAATTAGTTCAAATCTATCGTGTCCAGTTTCAGTTTCCACAGGATCCACGGCCTGCAAGAAATATGGCTCGAGTTTAGAGTGGGTAAGCATTTGAAGTACATTCCAGTCCACGAAATTGTCGCATCACTAGGACCTCAAACTTCCACCGCTTTCCTGTTTTTCCACGCATTCAGTGGCTGTTATACCACTTCATGGTTCAAAGGTGAAGGCAAGAAATCATTCAGCAAAACATGGAAACGAATGCCCAGCTTGACTCCATGAGTGTTTGAACGAGTAGCAACGTCGCAAGTTTATATATGTGAAGCAGACAGTGACCTTTTGGAACAGTTTGTTGCAGCTCTTTATTGCAGCACATTTGACCGCGCCAGGGTCAACGATGCTAGGTGCTACCTTTTCACAATCAAGGGAAAGACAATTGACAATATACCCCCAACAGCTGATTCATTGAACAAACACGTAAAACGATCTGTGTTACAAGTACGAAAGTGGTGCAACTGTCTCGAAGCCACAAGAGTAGAGCTGGAACACACGTTGGTGATGGATGAAGATGATTTTTTCCACTTTGGAGCCGCATGCCCTATGCATTCCAAGTGGCGGAAGCGCTGATTCGTTGCGGGTGAACCAAGTGGGTTGAAGTGTACGGAGCTGTGTGGATGTCAAGTAAAATGTTAGATATTGCCAAAACACTCGCTGACAGACATAAAAATTTCAATTTCGTGTCGTTCACATTTGATTTTTAAATGAGTATATAGTTCCTACCTACGAGACATTGCAATTCCTTTATATTTATGGATGACGTCCGCATATGTTTGTGAGCGTTGCCATGTGCTCCGCTGTGGGGACAGACTTGATATAATTAGTTAATATTAACTGCAACTTACATTTAAAGCAAACAATATGGTTTTGATTGACATTTGTATTCCGAACAGAACAGAGCAGAACTTAACAAAGGTTTACCCGCTAACCAGACAGTATTTATATAAAGTTGAAACAAGCTAACTAGTATTGCTAACCAGATAAAATAAGTATTTACGCCAAGATGTAAACGTAGGTAGCCTCACAGAAGTAATTAAGTTTGTATTTTTTATATATGTAATGTAATTTAGCGACAGTATTGTAATATGTATTTGTTATATTTGTTTAATTTAGATCGAATAAGAATCTACTAAGAACTTTAGTATACGATTCAGTCCCTCGTTTATATCCAAGAACAAGCACATTGAGCTCAGAACGCCCCACCGTGACTTATTTTTCACCAACAAGACCACAAGAGTGTTTTTGATAGCAATATTTCAACTGTTTCTAATTACTATCTTTGTTGCTGCCAAAATAAATAGCATCAACAGATAGCAAGCATTATTAATATGACACCTTATACTCTTTATAATATATATTCTGGATACAATATTCAATATATCCAGGAAAAGCTGTAAAATATTCAAATTTCAGGGTAATGTGACTCCGAATGCGCACTACTGTTCTTCTCAAATATCCTTAATTCCATGATAATGCAACATAATATTACAATATTGTTTAAAAAATTTCTCAAACCTTCTCTTCCATATATTGTTACTAGGCGTCTCCATTTGTGCACAGATGTGATGATTAAATGCAATAATGTTCCTCAAGGCGCATACCGAATGTCGGTCATTTTGAAGGCCGAAATGGACACTTTCCATGCTCAAATTTTGGACAAACCTTCCATTCCATATTCCACATAACCTGATGAGTATCTGCGCCAAGTTCCAGTTGTCTTAGCAGCTCTACTAGAGCTGACGTACATATTTGGAAGAATTTCAACGAGTACCGGCGATAAACAATGGCGTAAAGTGGCGAATTTGCCCAAATACGTCCATTTGCAGGAGGTAGGTACATTTCGAATTATTATTTCAATCACAAAATATTAACTATTTTACACCAACACAGTGATAATATACTTAAATCAGCACCAATTCATCCTCGTTCCCAGGGCTTCTCGGCTGCCTGACGTTGCCATAAGCCCTGGGACAAGCCAAACGAGAACACCAAAAATGCTGGTGTTTTCCTGAAGTAAACGTGCTCTGCTGCATCTAAAAATGCTGATTATGCATTAATATTTACTGAGGAGTGAGACAGTTGCTGAGCAGAAAATAATGGTTTTCCTTTTGTTTTAATGTATTGTCCACTATCAAAGGAATATGTGCATACCACCTAATGAAATTATACATATCAGGGCTTTATATTTCGTTAATATCGTTAATATTCTCAGACTCAGTCCGAGAGCTAGACTCAGTTCCGAAATATCACATATTCGAACCGACTTAACCGCGTAGCTCAGTTGGCAGAGCATTGGGCTTGTATTCAAAATGTCGTGGGTTCGATTTCCACCGTGGTCAGACAAACTTTTAATTTCAGCCTGCCCGGTGTGGATATACACTCTGAGTAACATCAGAAACATATATTCACCTGAGTACATAATATAAACAAAAAAAATTACGGACAAAAAATTCTTGACCTAGCTATTAAAGAGTGACGATGGTCCTCCATTTACCAGTATGGTGGCCCATTAACGCCATGGTAGTTTTTACGAAATTTTCAAGTTTTTTTAATAAAAAAATATTTTAAAGTATTTTTTATTTTTTAAACAAATTTCTTTATTATTTTATTTTAAATTATAATTTAGTAATTTTTTTTTATTATTTTTTTTATTATTTTGTTAATTTCTGGTTTTATTTGGTTCTACTTTTATTAAAAACAAATAAAAAACATACTCCATAGCCCATTGACGCCATAGCATTATTTGTAAATAATAAAAAAAAAACTCCATCGCACATTGACGCCATAGCAATATTTATAAATAATAAAAAAAATCTCCATGGCCCATTTAAGCCATACCGATTATCGTGGCCCAGAGACGCCATATACCATAAGGCCTTTCGGGATTGGCTAAGAAGTTTATTTAGATCAAGTGGAAACACTGCATGCTCAAAATCTCGCACAGAATCGATCGAAAGATTTTGCCAAAATTTACATAAAATTTCACCGTTTTAAAGTATCTTTGTGTTATGTCAAAGAGAAGACCTGTTTGGAACAACTACAAAGAGAAGGTAGCGAAGAAGAGAATGCGGAAAGGGGAAGAAAAAGGAGCAACTGGTTCAAAAGGTGGGCTGACTGTTCAGCGTTTGTCGGCGAACGTGGAGGGCAAATGCCAAAAGTATTCGCGCATCGGGCCTTTGACTTTACTTCCCTGTGAGAAAGAACTGACACTGGAAAACATCAAAGCTGCGTGTAAGGTACACTTCGACACGGAATTGGAATGTGATGTGCTTGCTGGAGAACGTGGTCCTTCCTTTACCGAGTCAGGACAAATCCAGAACTGGAATGTTTTGCACGTGCGCTTCGTGGAAATTCTCGAACACCCCACGAACGAAAAGTCTCGAAAACAAACAGCAAGGAAACAGTCAAGACCCTAAAGCGAGCCAGCAGACAGAAAACCCGCAAAAAGCTCTTTCCAACATCCGCATTCGAGGCAAACAACATCTGTCAGTGTCAGACCATCACCATCTGTTGTGCGTTCAGTATCACTAAGTCAGATGCTGAAATTGGGCAAAGTCATAGTCCCATATATTGATGTGGTAACTCTTCGGCTTGAAGAGTTTTGCATCTCAAGAATGGAGTGGTAGGAACCTTTTGAGGTGTCACTTTCATTGGAAAGAAAACCATTTGCCAATGGGGCATTCCGTGAAGCGTTTTTGGCAAAATCCATTGCATGTGTGCCTAAAGGAAAGTATGCCCTTAAGAAATATTTGGAGGGAGAGAAAAAAGGAATCGAGGCACTGTTTCAATCCATCGAATTCCGTACACGAAAGTCGGTTCAATTAAATGCCTTAGCTCGTAATTTTGCTCAAAGTATAGCTTCCGAGGTCCAAGCTGCAGAATTTGGAGAAACATTTATTTATTGTAAGATCTACTATTCGTCTCTAAATGGTGAACCTGTAACCTTAGAGAATCACCTAGACGGTGTTTTTGGGAAGTTTATCAACAACACTGGGGAGCTGTGTGTGAGACATTAAGATGTTGGTGAACTAAACCTTAAAGCTGAGACATTTGTTCATTATACATTCCAGAAATATAACCAACAACTTATGGTCACTGACATTCAAGGTGTTAATTATTCCTTATGTGACCCAGAAATTGCAAAGGCTGAGCTGGCGGACCCTGATACCAGGCAATTCGTTTCTGCACTGATAATTTGTCAGATACAGCAACTAAATCCTTTTTGACATGTCATGAATGCAACAGATACTGTGAGATGCTGAAACTGTCAAAGCAACAGTGAATCTTGAAAATGTACCAACTTTGATAGACCTTATGTATAATGATCTCACAATGCTTGATGCCCACGAGGCATGCTGGTCTTAGTAGTCATTGCCCAGCAAAATTTTGATAGTGGCCATTTTCAATCGTTTAATTTTCCCGGCTGATGACTGCTAAGACCATCATTCATCACAGGCATCAAGCCTTGTGACGTCATTATGCATACGGTTATTGCTTGTCCAATTGCTTGTCTAACCACTTTATTCCAGACTTTTAGTTATAGATTACCATACTGTAGAGTATATAAACATTTTCTCTTATAAGTGGAAATTGTTCCCATTCTGGGGAAAACTTTATAAGAAAAGTTTCATATTTTATTCTGACATTAATTAATAGATCAAACTTGTTTATGTCCAAATGTGATCTTTTAAATATAAATATGCATTCGAAGCCTGGGCTGGCTCAATGTCCTCTGTATTTGGGATGTGTCTTTGGCATTCTTGGCGAAAATTGCCATCTAAAAAGTCATCATTAGCATGCAGTACATGAGAAAACTCAGCCACTTCTCGTAATTGATCATCCGTTACGGGAAAACCACACTTTTCCCCACCATGTTGCTCTGGGCATATGTATATATATGTTCTGGCACACCAGTAGTAAGCTCCTTGTCTTTTTGTTTTCTCACTCTATGATTATTCCACACAGATACCCTGAACACATCAAGTTCCTTTTGTACCACAGGAATATAGATATATGCTAGCATGTTTCCGCAAATTAAAATTGACAGGGTTTCAGTGATAAGTAATTTCCTTTAGTCAAGTGAATACTAATTCAACAATTGTGTGTCCTACAATCATATTTCGATCAATACAGAGTTCAAATTAGTCCAGAAACACACACACACACACACACAATGGAATCATCTTGGACTTAGTTGAATTTGTAATGACATGAAGGGGTGGCGCTGTAGTGCACATACATGTGTGTTATGACTTTGAGTACTGCCAAATCGATGGCACAAGCTTGCTCTTCAGGTTATATTTTAATAAAGTAAAACTACACGATCATCATTCATGCACATGCACTCATATATGATAATTTACTCTGGTTTCTCATATCATTGTGGTTTAAAAATTGCAATATTTGATGAATATAGCTGCATTAACCAGTAAACCAAATGCATTCTTGTCCGATAACTCTACCTGTCAGTTTCATTGCTTGGGTCATAATACCCATCTTCAAGCAAATATTTTAATTGATCCTTGAAGTAGTCTACCATTCTGTGTGACAGCTCTCTCCACCATCTCTCAATTTTGTTTTCGGTGGAAGGTCCATATAGAACACAGTTATCTCCATTCTCCACATCAGCATGTTGTGCTCGTAAATAACTGTGGATAGTATATACATCACACCAGTTTCTATTCCTCTATCCACACGTTTTCTTCAGGGTAGCACTATAAAATACAGAAAAAGTTACACATATTTTTGTACAATAATGTTAACATGACTATAATATATGATTGTACCCAAGAAGTGTGCTAGAACAATGTCTATCAAGAAAGGGTGATTATTTTAAAGTTCATACTCAAGGTGCATTCAAATGAGGTCTGGAGCATATTCGAGGGTGGGTGATGCTCAATGATTAATAAAGGGTTTAATTAATAATCTAAATTTGAAGAACAATTTAGATAAAGAAATATTATAATACCTCTTCTTTCGAATAAATAGTCGAAGTAGAATCTACCATCAATGCTTGGATTATTGTTGGAAGTCCATACTCTCAAGAACTCTGCTGCTGAAAGTATCCTGGGGACCATAAATGCACAGTGGGAACGTAGACTTTTGAAAACCACACATTTTATCATGCCCATCAAGTGACATTGTAACTCAGCTCCCTGAATGAGAAAATCGTCACATATATTAATATAATGTTCTAGTGTAATAAAATATGAAACATTTTTTATCCTTGCATTCGATGTAAACGCTCCTTTTCTCCCTTGGCGTTTCGGTTGTCCCACACCACCTCTGTCTTGTAAATCTTGAGGTTGACATCGCTCATCACGTCGTACACAACGTTTCTTGGAACATTCAATGTGTGTACTTCACGAATCTTCTTGTGTAAAGCACGATAGCCTAGGAATCTTCCTGCCCCATTCATCTTATTTTCCACAGCACGTGTGACATCGTCAATATTTGTGTCGCATTCGAATCGACGTATTTTTTATCAAAATCATGCATTCGACGTGAGACAGTTCTTACACTCCACGCATACATCGGATACTTCACTTTCAAGAAATCCACAATTTCTGTTTGACGCAAATTCTGGGCAACATACGCTTTAATATGGTCTTTTAACTCCATATCGCCTTCCCATTCGTCATTCCTTATGCGAGTCGCCATGTTGGAATACTGTATCATGCCCGAAAGGCGTTATGGTATATGGCGTCTCTGGGCCACGATAATCGCAATGGCGTCAATGGGGCATGGAGAATTTTTTTATTATTTAGAACTATTGCTATGGCGTCAATGGGCCATGGAGTTGTTTTTTTATTATTTACAAATAATGCTATGGCGTCAATGAGCTATGGAGTATTTTTTTAATAAAAGTAGAACCAAATAAAAGCAGAAATTAACAAAATAATAAAGAAAAAATAATAAAAAAATACTAAAATATATATTTTAAATAAAATAATAAAGAAATTTGTTTAAAAAATAAAAAAATATTTTAAAATATTTATTTATTATTATATATAAAATATTTATTTATTTATTTAAAATATTTTTTTATTAAACAAACTTGATAATTTCGTAAAATCTAATATGGCGTTAATGGTCCACCATATACCAGTCATGATTTCCAAAGGTTTGCTGAATATACCTTGGATTTCAACATCGCAGGATTACGCCATGTAGGCCAAAAGCGAATGGCGAAGTTGAGCTTTTCATTAGAAATGTTGGCAAATTTATACGTTCTACTAATGTTCAAGCAAAAAGCTATAAGCAAGATTCTTCTAAATTTCTTTGCCAATATCGTGCTGCACCTCACTCTACCAGCGGAATATCACCATATGAAGCCTTGAACCAAAGAAAGCGGGCCCTAATTTGGGCCCACAGTAATTGGCTCACGCTGTTGCGGTCACCCTGCCTAAAGTCATGTCTATTATTCTTGTTCTTGTTATAGTTTTGTGTATTGTAATATGGCGAAACTAAGAAATAAATAAATAAAAGCTCAAGACACGACATTACCTAAAACAAATCTGTAAGTCATACCTGGTGATTCGTATGACAAATTAAGAAAGATGAGATACCGAACAGAAGTCGAAGATGAAATTGTATACTGACAACCGAGCGCGTGCAAGACAAAGCTCAATTAACCCAGGAATGGTAGTTCTGATGACATAACATAAACAAAACAAAATGGGCACACCGTTTGACCCGAATCCATTTGTAGTTAACGAGAAGAAAGGAACTATGTTTACAGTACCTAACGACTAATCCAAGAGACCAAGAGGGTGAAATAAAACTCTTCCGCCATATTGAAAGTCATCCCATCATTTACTCAATCCTGAAAAACCCAAGAGCAAGAAGTACCAACAGATAATTCAATTCCATTCGCAGTCAATTCCAGTCAAAACCAAAAAAACGCATCGTTAAGTGGATCGAGCGCAGGGACGCCGGAACTGGGGGGCAGGAGGGGCAGCCGACCGCGCTACCCTTTACCTGGAGGGGCAAGGGTCCAAAGGTGCCCTTTCAATTTAAAGGATGGCCTTGGCGAAATAGCAAATTTTCAGAAATTGTCATTGCAATTAGCGAATTGTAGCGAATTTTCTGTGCAATTCTTTTACGAATTTGCTTCAGAAATCGAACTGCATTTCTTCAGTAATCGAACTTCAAGAATAACACAATCACCTGGCGGAGATACCCCCTCACACCCCTATCATCCAATAAATAGAAAACATGATTAGGCGAAGTTCAACTCTCGATGTTTTGCAAACATCTCCTAGAAAATATCAATTCAAAAGTGCCCTTTCAAAAAAATATGCCACCCTTGCCTTCACATCGTTCCGGCGTCCCTGCCAGAATCAGAGACTATGTCACAACCATTTATTAAGTTTTATTTAATGGTAAGTATAAGAACGTAAATAAACTAATGTTC